GACTCAGACTGGTGTCTATGAGCAACTGATAATAACGGGTTGACTCTTTGATCTAGCAAGGTGCCGTGGTTTGTACTTCTTTGGATATTGCATGTGCCAAATCCCTTATCAAATCTTTTGGGGTCTGTATTCCCTTAATGGGCTAACACTTCAAGTGTGATCACTTTTTTTCCAGAGAGCCCATAGTATCAGGATGTAACATTAAGAAAATAACCTGTATTGGCAATTTAGTTGAAGAACTACTGTTATCAGCACTATTCAGTACTGTTGTTGTGCAACTTCCTTCCTGTATATTCACTTATATTTTCTAGTATAGAGTAAGAAAATACCAATAATTCATAACTAAACATGAAAAAAATAAGAAGTGTTCATGAAGGTTTAATTCTGTCCACCAATGTACCACTATAACAAAGACTTACCCATTCCATTTAGTTACTATATAATTTTTTCTGTTAAAATACTTCTCATTGAAGAAGGCAAAGGACCATGTTCAGTAGACGTGTGTGTCCTTAACTTGTGTAATATGGCCTCCATTGTACGTGCTGCGCTGGAGGTATGGACATCATGTGGCTAAATCAGTCACATACTTACAAAGGCTGTGGTTAAGACTAAGATGTGGTTTGCATTCAAACTGCTTTCTTCTGTTCTAAAAAGTTCTAGAACCATTTTTGTCCCATTATATGTCATATGCAGAACACATAGCAGTATGGTAGAAACCATTTTGTTTTTACTCTTCTAGAATGATTTGTGTATTTGTAGCTTCTGTTATATCAGTAATATGGTTATCTCAAATCAAATAGATTAAATCAGGGTTTGCCATTCACTTATCACCATATCACTGCATTATTGTAGTTCTGCTGCTGCTTAAATTGCAGATGATATGCTATTAAAAAAGTATCAGGAAATGAAAGTATAATAAGCCCAAAGTTTTTTACTCTCTAGTAGTATTTTTTTAAAGTAGAATTGATGAACTTTGAACTTATAAAATATTCTCCTATATAGATTACATAGTGAAATTTATATCCATAAATTATCTTATTTTCATAATAAAAAACCACTGAATTAGGCACAAAATAGAAACTAAAATCTCAGGTTTGTTGTACCAGTCAGACAGTATCTGGGCACAGACATTAGGAAGGCCTAGGCACATTCTAATACCATTTGCAACTTGCTAGCATTTAGTACCATATCTCTATTGGCATAACTGAACATACCAGCTTGAACTGTGCAGAGGAAAAACACAGTGAGCCCAGAAGTGGTCTGTGGACAAAGCTATTGTTATCTTGAATCAGCAGAAAATTTTGAAGTCAATTTTTGGACGTGCAGAATTAGCCCATCAAATTCTACACCTTGGTTCAGTCAATAACATAACTTCAGTTTATTATTCAGTTTCAGCTTTGATCTGAATTAATGAATACTTATTGATTTTAATTTGAGTGGCTATAGTCTTGTCTTCTTTGTTGCTCTCTTAATTAATTAAAAAGTTAAACACCATCATAAGTCACTATACCCCTTTGTTTTAAAATGTTATGAGTATTGTAGTAGAGTTGTGTGGATCTATTTGTGATTTTGCCTGGTTTTGGATAGTATTTCTGTATGGCTAAACTGAAAAAGCTAAGGATCATACTCAGCTGCGCACTGTCACAGCACTTAACTATGCTCAGTATAAAATCACTCTAGCAACTTTTCACCATTGCAGCTAAAATTATGTTTACCAAAATCAGAAATAACCAGAATCTTCACTAACATTGGATAAATATACATTTATAAAATTTTTCTCTATATTAATTTTAGAGTATAGAGAAGTGGAACTGGTTTTAGACATTTTTAATCATTGCAGTAAGCCTGATTAGCTGATTAGGTTTTTTAGATTTTAACATTATATCTCTAGCCTAAGGAGACGCATCAGACAAAATAGCCTTGCTTTAGAGTTCATATATATATAAAAAAGAAAGTCGTTAAATACAAAAAAAGCTCTGAAAGTTGCATCTTAAAGCTAAACTACATAGGATGGTTTTCCTGGCTGTCAAGCTTCCAAAAAAAACCCCCTCTTTTTTAAAAAAATAAAATTACCAGTTTGACCTTTGCATCACAGTTCTCTAATGTAAGTCTGTCTGTGAGTACTGTGCTTGCTCCATTAGAAAATGAGGATATAAACTCAGTTTCCCAACTCTTGTCATTATATTTCTGGATCTCAAAAAGCCAATTGACAGAAGTTATTAAATTAGTTTTTAATTAAGATTTTGTACAAGTATAGTCTATGCAGCATGATTCTGTGTAGGCATGGCTATTGTAGTTTTCCAGTCTTTTAACAGGTAACCAACTTGAAGACTATTTTCATTTCTAGTGAAACAATGTAATGATATTTGTACAGTATACACCCAGTGTTTTGTTCTTTTTCCTGAATCCTTGTGAGTATTTTTCAAAGGAAAAGTCTGCCTTAATTTGGTATTTCTCAGTATGCATATTGATAATGAGATTTACTCTTTACAATCTAAGTATTTACAAACAGAAAATGTTGTGTTTGGTTTTTTTTGGTTGTGATCTTCCTGTCAAATATCATAATCTTTAAGAAGCTAATATGTACTTTTCTGAAACAGTGGTATTAATGGTATATGTTTATCAAAATGCAGCCATTTTAAAAAATGGGTTTTATTTTTTATTGTTCAGTGAATGTCAGGCCCCAATACCGAAATGGAGAGTTTGAAACTAATAGGGTTAAAAGGACTTCTACTGTCTGTACTGTGTATGTATTATACCTACATTGCTTATACATTGTTTTTTTCCCCCTAGTATTAGCAATCTGCTTTTGTACTTTGACATAGGGATTTCCCTTGTGAATTTTGTCACAGAAAAAAGAGAATCATCAATATCGCGGTTAAACTTGACTTTCAAAGCTAATAGTATCTCATTTGGGGGCTGAAATTTAATAAATTTTCTTTGATTCTGTTTGAGTTTTTAAACATCAAACAATGAATTGGCCAGGGTGCAGTAAAATATTTAGATCTATTGACTATGGTTCAGAAGGGTAGAAGGCAAAACACTGGTGGTTTGATGTTGATAAATTCTTAGTACCTTAATCCACATTAATGTTTTCTTTTATCTGTGTGCATACTGGCAGCAAAGACACTGAGAAGTTGGTATATATAAGCTATAAAAATGTAAATCGTGTGTGTGTGTGTGTGTGTGTGTGTGTATTTAAAGCAATGCATTTTGTTATATTCAGCAAGGTTAACATCTGACCAGAATTACACATGCTGACAGAACACTCTAGAGAGTATATTTGTTCCATAGGACTGTATATCCTGAACCTAGTGCACTATGTGTGCAAAAAATGTGTAGAGGACCTTTCCTGTTATAAAAATTGCATCATAGTGCATATGTTTGGCAGCCACAGGTATTGACAGGAATTCTTTAGGTCAACTTGGGAAATGTAGGGCTCCCTATTCCCACAGAACAGAGGAATGAATAACATAAAATCTTTTCTTCTTTGTGTCAGTAGATTTGCACAGCTTCTTTCAATCAGAGCAGATTTCAAAGGCTCTGCTATTATTTGAAAGATGTTCACTCATAATCAACATTTTACAAAAATCTAATTTTGTAAGTAGTTACAGAAAAGTAATCTGGGATTTAAAATTAATAGACCTAGGTTTTAATTCATGTTCGATGTGTTCTGGTGGGCAAGAGAACCTTTAAGAAAAACTGAAATATATTTAAATAGTATTTAGTAAATGGTTTATCTATTGAGTTATGGGTATTTAGTATATATTCAGTTTATGTTTTATTATCAGACTGTATATTGTTTAGTTAAAGACTATGTTTGCAACACTTGCTATTGCTACTCAACACATGCAGTCTATGCCTAATGAATGGATTTCATCTATTCATTTGTACTAATATATATTTGTATGTGTGACTATCCATCTGTATTACAATCTAATGTGACTACTGGGGTCTCCTGGAGGTGGACATGGTAATTTTTGTATTAAATAGAATGAAAAATGGGTGTGTGGCATCATATGGTGTACGAACATAGCTGATGCGCCTGTGGAAGTTACGTGTTAAATACATATAATTTCACGTCCACGCTGACAGACTCTGGACACGTTGCGAAACGCGGGGAAGTGTTGGATTTTGGGCAGAGTCCGGTGTTTGTCCGTGCCCGAGGACAAAGCGGCGGCGGTGCTGCCGCGCGCGGCCGGCAGGTGGCAGTGCGACACCAAGGGCGCGGGGGCTGCGCGGGGCCGCCCGCGCTCCGCGAGTCCGACCGCCCTCCGAAGGACTGGACATCAATCTGTCTGGGCTTTGTGCAAATTGTAGCATTTCCCACTTCAAATTGGCACGGTCAGAAACTGTACAAAAGTCGATTAATACCACTTAGTGCGTTATTTCTTACAGTGAGTCTGCAATAAGAGATCTAGTAGCATTTTTTCCTTTTTTTTTTTTTTTTTTTTTTTTTTTTACCCTTGTTAATTGGAAAGCTACAGGTTAGTTCACTTTGCTTTGTTTGTGGATTATTCATTTTATTTTGGATTTTAACTGAATTGCTACTAAATGAACCTTATTCTGCAGAACTGATACAATCTCTCTATAGTACACAGAACTCACATGCCAGCTTCTTGCTGCTGTGATCGCATGAACTTTTTAATTTCATAGCTCATGTTTGTTTCAGTTAGAAGTACAAGTACTATTGTTTTCTTATGAGGTTTTTACAGGGGACAGATCTGTGAAATGTATATGCCAGCCGGACTAGTGAGCCTTTAGTGTCTCTTATTCTCGTTTCAGACCAGTGGAAGATGCTTTTTCTTCTTAACATTCTCTCCTAGCACTCGGAATTAGAGATTTATTTGCAACGAAAAATCAATTAGTCCTAAATTTATTCATGGATTTCAGGTCCAGCGATCAATGCAAGTCCACTCAGTGGGCTCAAGGGGACCCAGTTCATCCCAGTTAATGTGTCTGAAGGGGAATTACCATTGATGCTGTTTTTTTCCCTTTAGGTCAGAGATCAGGCCTTGCTGCCATGTGCTGCGGCAGCCACGAATGACTTCACCCTGGAGCTACCCAAACTGCACTTAGAGACCTTTTCAGAGGAAGGGCTGAAGGGCAGGCCAGAGGCTGCAGCATTTCAGGTTAGAGTCTAAGATAATCCTGATTCTTGTTTTCATTTTTGGCAACTGAAATAGAACAAGAAGCTAGACTTCTCTGAATGAGTGGAGAACAAAAATCTTCAAAACTATTGCAGTGAACAGTTGAAAGAGGAATAATTTCCATTTATACTGTTGTATATGGTATTTCAGAGATGATGTGAACTTTTATTTCTGCAGTAATAGTGTTAAATAACTGTCAGGAATATGACCATGGAAAAATTCAAATGTTGTATTTGAAATGTAATATCACTCTGTGCCCCCCCTTCTCCCTTTAATTTAAGCAAGACAAATTAAAAAAAGCCCATGATTCTTATGCTGCTACTTGTATCAGCAATCTGACTGTATCAGATTTTTTTGTATTATAGTTTTAGAATTAACAGTGATTTTTAGCGGTTCTAATTTAAAAGAAACTGCTACTTAGAATACCTTAATATGGAAACTATTTGGTTCATGTAGGTTTATAGGTTTATGTTTCAAAATATTAATTTTGTTAGTGGAAACAGTGGGGGGGAAAAGAGAAATCAGTTGAAAATGTACATATTTTCAGCTCTGAAAATTGATGCTGTGCAATGCCTCCTTATTGTTTTTAAGTTTGTTATATCTTCTTCTATACAAACTATACCTTAGTCTTTATAGCTGTACAGAATACATTGTTTTTAAAGGCAGAATATTTTGTTTTCCTAGTGAGAGAACAAAAGGCAGAGTGAGTTCCTAGTTCTTTCATTGTACTCTTCTGTCTGAATCAGAGGAAAGGTAGTCAAGAGAAATGCAAGGACATTAGACAATGCAAGTATTGCATTGTGTGTGTACTTTTCTGTAGTAACCCTTTTGAATTTATTATAGGTGTTGTATTCTAGATGTAGTATGTAATGACAGGAATAGCGTTACAAAATTAAACATTCAAGAAAGACAGATTCTAACTTGGAAATTTCTCATTGTTGCCCTCTTGCATACGTGCGTTTTTATATGACAAAGATTTAAATTATGTGTTTCTCTAATAAAGCAATAATATGTAACGCCTTCAGATTCCCATGAACTTTAGTTGGCACAGCTGTATGTCTCTAACAAAGGGTATGTTGCAAATGCTTCCCCAGCATAGTGATGATCACTTTTAAAACTGTGCTAAAAGTTCCACAGGTGGCGTCTTTTCAAAGAAGCTGTCATGGAAATCACCAGCTTTTAGATGCTACTTTTCTATTCAGTAATAGCTGTTCAGTGATAGCTGTTGCTTTTTTTTTTTTTGTCCCATCCCAACTTCTATTCTTTTTTGACCTTACAATGATGACAGAAGCGTTTACAAGACAGCCTATTTATTCTTTCTTTTTAAGAAGATGAAGGGAAACAGAAATATAAAAAGTTGTGCTTCACATTTGTACAGAGTGCTTGTGGTATAGATAACACATTGCAATGTATGTGCTGGATAGCTCGTTGGTGGTGCAGTGTTGTAAACCTACTTTTTGTTTACCTGACAGCTTCAGTTACACTTGGTTACTCTGTGCCTACGCAAACAATACCGAAGGTTCAGTCCATATCACTGTGAAGTTCCTTTTCTCCTTCCCTTTCTCCTTTTCCCTTTTCCTTCTTTTCCTTCCTCTTCTGTCCCTCCTCCTGTCTCTCTCCCTCTCCTGCTCCTCCTCCCCCTCTTTCTTTCCTATCTCTGATTACACAGTGCCTGTTTGATAAGTTTCTAAGTACATTATAGAGATTTTATTATGAAATTTGCCTTTTATAGCTGGGAATCAGATAATTGATTTTAATTTCACTGTATGTAAAACTATATTATGGACAATCGTCTAATCCTGAATGAGATGAATGGTTAGTATATTTATATGTTAGAACAGTTAGAACATTTGTATGTTCATACGCATCCTCATAGGTTATCTTTCTTCCAAATTTTTCAGAAAGCAAGTGGCTCTCAAGGACGTTTTGAATGAAATCCACTATCCTTAATTTACCTCATGGGCTCAGCAGCATTAGAGATCTATATTCCTTGTCATTGGGAATATGGGAAGTCTTAGAATTTTTAAATTGTTGTTGTCTTTGTGTAAATGTTTCTTGTGAAAAATATACTTTCTTTATAATAGACAAGTGCAAAGAAGGTTGACATGATGAACCTAAGTTGCCTGACTGTGAACTAAGCTATCAGAGATTTGGGGTTTTTTTGTGGCATGCTTAATTAAATATCTTGTTTTTTAGCAAATGCATCCAACATTCCAAATACCATGAAGACTTGCAGGGCTGATCAAACAAACACACAAATAATGTCCCTGTCATTCCCAAATGAAATAACCATGTAGAAGGTGTGCATCTTTTAAATAGTTTAGTTTACACTCTAGACCTTTAGGTAATGAAATGAAATGTTTCATGCACAAAGTTCTATGTATCTTCTCCAAAGCTTGCACCTTTCGTAATGGCTCTTGAATCGCAAAATTATGCAGTAGGTTGAAATATTAAGTTATTCAACAAGAATATCCTTGCACTGAGTATCTTCTAAAGCCCCATGCAAGTAGTGAAAGTGTGACTTAATTTGTAGGCATTTTTAAAATTCTTGAGCACTGCAAGAGAATTACTATAATAGTTTGAAAATGTCACTTCAAATGGATAAGTAAAGAAAAAGTGGAATATCTCGAAGAGTAAAATATGATTGCTATAGCTTTGAAGCATCTCACCCTGTATGTAATTGCTGTGAAAAATGTTATGTCACAAAGTAATACTGTCTGTTGCTCATTTAAGTTTGAAAGTGGAAAATTATAGTATTGTTTTCAAGCAACTGAAACACAGGAACACAGGATTGTTCTGGCCATGCCTGAATGTTCCTACAAAAAGAGACAAAAAGTGGAACCATATATGAAGTCTTCAGTGAATACAGGATATAGGGTTAAAAAAGCAACTAAAATGACATGGCATTGCTAATTGTAGTAGTCTTGCTTGGCAGATGATTATTTAAATTCCACAAATAAAGGTTATTAGCTCTTTCTAAAATAGAAAATTCAATTGTGTTACATCTTTAGGAAGAGAATAAGGTTACTTACTAATATTAACTCTCCCTTCTGAAAGAGTTTATTGGCTCACAGAAAAAGTGGTTCAGAAGATTAATTCTGAATTGTCTCAAATACTTTTACATCAAGTATGTAATTGACACTTATGCCAAGAATTTTTACCTGAAAAGAATGAATAAAGCCCCCAAATAAATCATACAAGATTTAAACGTTCATGTATAAATAATTAAGCATCAGTATATTCTCACTGTGGGTTTCTTCTGTTTGGAGATATAGACACAGAAGGGTAAGAACTGCTGTGAATGAAACTTCTTGAAGCAAATTTAGATACCTCAGACACGTATGTTAATGTTATGTTTTAAAGCAATTATAGTTGAATTATGCTAAAACAGCTTCTAAATATTTATGAGCATGATACAACATATCTGAAGACGTGACTCCAAGTTACTAGCTGAACACACAAAGGAAACCGGAAAGGGACTTGGAGGTGCAGGCTCATGCTAAACGTGAGCCAGCGGTGTGCCCAGGTGGCCAAGAAGGCTGGTGGCATCCTGGCTTATATCAGCAATAGTGTGGCCAGCAGGACTAGGGAAGGGGATTGTCCCCCTGTAGTCGGCAGCGGTGAAGCAATGCCTCAAATTCTGTGTTCAGCTTTGGGCCCCTGATGACAAGAAAGACATTGAGGTGCAAGAGTGTGTCCAGAGAAGGGCAGCGGAGCTGGTGAAGGGTCTGGAGAACGAGTCCTATGAGAAGCAGCTGAGGAAGCTGAGGGGTGTTTAGTGAAGAAAAGGTGGCTCATGGGACACCTTATTACTCTCTACAAATACCTGAAAGGAGGTTGCAGCAAGACAGAGCTTGGTCTTTTCTCCCAGGCAACTAGCAACAGCACAAGAGGACTAAGCTTCAATCTACGCCAGAGGAGTTTCGGGTTGGACATCAGAGAGGGTGGTTAAGCACTGGAATGGACAGTCTAGGGAGGTGGTGGAGTCACCATACATGAAAGTGTTCAAGAAACAATGTCCTCTGTTTTTATCTCTCTCTGCCACATGCTGTTGTGCTCTGCTGCCTGTCCCCATGTCCTTCCTGCAGATTCTCCATGACACATGTGCTCTCGTGGCTGAGTACTTGCTTGTTGCTGTGCTCACATTGATGCACATGCTCTTGCTCTCCCTCCCCCTGCATGTCTGCTCTCTCTGCCCTACACTTTTGTGCTTTCGTTCTGTCAATCTCTGCCTGCTGCTCTGCCTGGGTCTCTCTCAGTCTCTGCCCCTCTCTTCTGCTCCCTGTGCCCATCTTTCCCGCTCTATCTTGCTTGATCTACATCAGTCTTTCCGTCCTCATTGTCCCTCCCTCCCACCTGCCCCATCTTGCTTCCTCTGTCACTGTCTTCAGCATGTATCCATCTGTTCATGCAGGTTTAGAAAGTCCACATGGGATTTATATGCACTTCTTTGCCTTTCTTAGGTGTTTTGAAGTAATTTGGAATGAAAAGTGTAGTGATAACATAGAGTAATATAGTCAAGTACTAACATATCTTCAGTGTTAGCATATAATCGTTACAAATTTACAAAGAAGTAGGTTCTTACTGTTTATGCATTCATGCATGATTTAGTCATGCATTAACTAATTGTGTTGTAGGTCCACTTTTTCTAAATAATTTGACAAACATAAATGTAGTTTTAGAAGCATCCTAATTTGTATTTATTTTAACTTGTTTATTAATTTTAGATTTATGCTTAATAGATTAGAAGGTGAGAGATATGCATAATTTTGCTGATAATTTTCTTCAAAATAATAAACACTTTCTCATTCCTGAGTTTGCTTGTCAGTAAAAAAGTTCTTACCAAATTGAGGAAGCAAGTGATTTCAAAGGTAACATTATCATTCTGTCATCAGATTTTATCCTCTGCATAGGGCATGTCTTTCAAACATAAATCAGTTCTGATATGAGGACTTAATAAGAAAAATTAATCATGGAGTAGC